CACAAGCGGTTTGCCAACAAATATCCCCATACCTGGTCCATCCCGAGCCCGAAAATCCCTTTTTCAGGATGAAAGTGTTCCAGCTTCAGAGCCATGAGTCACAAGGAGTGTAACAGTCAACTGCACATGTGTGTTGTAACCTACAACTCACGACACCAGTAATTTTTTGTAGCCTATGTGTGAGAATTTTCTTGTCTTTTTGTGATTTTTTTATTGTTGGTTAGAATTTTGTTCTGGTTTCTTTTCATGTTTAATAGTTTTTAACATACATAGAAAAAAAAAAAAGTAAACAAACAAAAAAAACCCTGTCTGTGATTGGTACCTTGATGTGGTAGATAGGCTTAAGGAGGTATGCAACTCCTCTGAACTAAATCCAGTCAAACACTTTTGAGAATATTTACACTAAGTGGCCCTTAAAACATCCATTTTCATGTCTTAAATGCCATTTTGGTCCACAATTTACAATACTGTGCCTTTGCCATGACCTCAAAACCGCCTTATGTGGGTGCAAATGACCATAATTTTCAAAATGCATTTTTTTTGTAAATCCCTCATCAAAAAATTTAATTGTTTGCATTTATCTAATCCTCAGATACTGAACTTTAATTTGGCACTCATCTTTTCTTCTGCACTTTTTTACTACCTTAACAACACTTCACAAGACCTGTGGCCCCCAAGTGGGACGACACTTCCCCAACTCAATGTAGTTTGTTGGCTGAACACAATTTATTCATTAGAAGTTGCCACCATTCAAAAAGATGATTTTTTTTTTTTAAGCCCAAACATTATTTTCCACACAGCAAAATACAGAAAGTATCTTCTGTGTCATGTAAACCATCCCACAGTTAATTTGCAAGTTGGGGAAGTCCTGCAGCTCCACATCTGTCAGTGATGTAACAAAATGATGATACCAGTTTGACAAATATAGAAAAGGCTGTCGCATTTGTCCAGATTTGGACTTTTTCCTGTTTGTTTTGCAGAATTGATGTGTTTTCTCTGCTGTTGTTGGCTGAGTTGAGCTCAGTGCCTCTGGATGTTGGGGTTTTCCATGTTTCTTTCTTTTTTCCCATTGCCTGACTCTACATAAATCATGTCTAGTTATTCCCCTCACACCAAGAAAGCATCACTTCAAAAATGCAACCTAAATTCCGTTGTTGATGAGTCGCATATTTCCTCTGTCTCCTAGAGCTGACGATGGATTTATCTTGATTTAAATCTCTCTCCCGCTGACACTGTGCCAAAGCCTCCCTGCTGCTTTGTGATATCAGATTACTGTTGCATTGTCCTCATGTTTCCCACATCAGGAAACATCCCTTAGTTCTTTTTTTTATTTTTATAATCAGTCAATCTGAATACCTCTAAGATTTCTATCTCGCTTTCACACACAATTGACAAAAGAAAAAAAGAAAATATTGAACAAGGAAACTGAGGGAATAATTAAACCTGTTGAGTCACTGCCAGCTCAGTGTGCGTCCCCTACTATATTTCAGGAAGTTTTCTCGCGCTGCAGGTTTCCCATAGCTCAGCATACGGGTTTGACAGCCTCTCCAGTCTGCAGAGTGGCTCCAGAAAGGCATACAGGGAATAATTACAGCCAAACAGAGAGAAAAAGAGTCATGGTAAGGAGGATGATTAACATTTTTTATGTCAAAAAAACTGTCTTTCAGTAATGGTGTTGTTCAGAAATGGGTTGTTTAAAGTGTGACCTCTTTTCTGATTATACAACGGAAAACACTTTGTATTGTGTGTTCTCAACAAACCAAAGCTGTGTTCGTGTTTGTGCATGAGCGTGAAGTGACAGTGAAGTCAGTCTGTTTGCTTTGACTCCTCTGCATCATTAACTCGAGCTGCGCGGTATTTACTGTCAGTTCAGGGTGACATTATAGCACAGTGTCGGCTTAGTCTTGTTAACACCGTCCTTGTGGGCTGACAAAGGCTGAACTTATCATGGATCATTATTTCTTGATGTTAAAGTAAGTAAAAAAAATCCCGTTTATTTGTCTTCAGGGATTCATGTGTTTTTCTGCAAGCTGGAATACAATGTGGAATTACTGCAAGATGACTTTGAAATGATTCCTCTCTAGCCCAGATTATACTGTAGGTAGTATTTGTATTCTACTGTAATGTTTTGATACGTGGTGAATTTGCATCTGTGAAAGTTTGGGTCACCAACACTACAAGCTGTCTAATGATATTTAAACTGATATTCAGTTAAAATTGTTAACCAGGATGAGGTTTTAAGCATTAAAAGTAACTTGAGCATGCTGTGAACATTTTGTTCCAATTTTTATAATACACGTGCACACAGTTTTTTAAAGCATCTTGCCACAGTTCCTCTGCGATGTAGTTTGTTAGCGTCTTCTGTCACTTCATATAATCCCAGACTGACCTTTGGGAGCCATAATGTCTGCAGAATGACTCACTACGTGTTGTGTCGGTTGTGTTGGATGCTTGGGTTTGTCATCGTGTTGCAGAATGATTCCGATCAGAGGTTTTGCATGTAAGAACATAAAAATCTAAAGCTTTCATAGAGCAGTCTGTGTATATATGTAATTAAATAGTAAATGTTAGAATGAATTCAATCAAGAATCATGTCAACAGAATGTAAATGTATGTTTTCTATCTATATTATTTTCACAAGCGGCCTGCAAGGTGGCACCATCGCTAGAAGGTCGCCGGTTCGTGTCCCGGTTTGGATGCCTGGGATCTTTCTGTATGGAGTTTGCATGTTCTCCCCGTGCAGTGTGGGTTCTCTCCGGGTTCTCCGGCTTCCTCCCACAGTTCAGAAACATGTTGAGGTTAATTGGTGATTCTAAATTGTCCATAGGTGTGAATGTGAGTGTGCTTGGTTGTCTGTCTCTAAGTGTAGCCCTGTGATA